TTTCAAATAAGTTTAAGTGGATGGATGGATACTGTATTTACCCTTGTATAAGTTGACCTTTTATGACCGAAAAATCAGCCCAAGAAATCACCCTCGACTTATACAGGGGTTATGTACAAAGACCTGACCCAAACAATCCAAGAAATTAGCATAACAATTGCCTGAGGTTCATTAGGAAAACCAAGGGGGTTGACTTATACATGGGTAAATACTGTAATTGATTTGATAAAAAAAAAGTATAGGCTCTGGTCATTCTAGCTAAGATGAGTGGCATCCTGATTAGTGGTAACTTATTTATTTTATTTGTTATTTTTGTTTTTCCTTTTGCTTTTAAGGGGGACTGGATTAAACAAGGAGCAGTGGTGGTTGACTGTGGAATAAATGTGATCCCAGGTTTGTAATAAAAAAGAGTGATCAAGGTTACATGCATCAATCAAGATGGGTTTCATCCAAGTTTATTTGCTGCTGACCCAATAACATTATCAAGACAGAAAAAGAACTTGACAGAAGCATACAATTGTAATCACATGCCAATTCCTTTTTGTGTGTACATGTGTGTGTCAGCATTTATTTTGTTGTTCATTGCATGATGATATGTATTGATTATTCCCTTTCAGATGAGACAAAAAAAAGTGGGCGTCGCCTTCTTGGTGATGTAGATTTCCAAGGGGCAAAGAAAAGAGCAAGTTGGATAACTCCAGTGCCAGGAGGTGTGTTATACTCGGTGACTTGTGACCAGAGCTGTTTGTTTTGTTTTGTTTTGTCTTTTTGTTTGCATGAAATCTTTATACACTATGCTTTGTTTGCTTTGGATGCATTCAGAAAAAAAATCTACCAATGCTAAATTGGTAAGTTGGAAAAGCAAACTAGAACACAATTATTTATGGAAGAGATGCTCAAAAGAAAAATCAGCTTGCTCTGAATAAATGCACTTTTTTGGGATTTAGATGTTGTATTGTAACTTGTATTGTCACATTACAGGATGTGCTTAAAATGTTGGGCCAACATTTATGCCATTATTTGTCTGATGTTGGCAGGTGTGGGACCAATGACTGTTGCCATGTTGATGAACAACACTGTTGACAGTGCTAAGAGGGCTCTACAAAAACAAAAGGTCTCTCCTACATTGAGAATGGGCTTGTCTTTGGCTCCATTGTTTCCATATTTCAGGCGTTTTATACGCAAATGAATTTTCTTGGTGCTTTGCTTGTGCACTGTGACACAAATTCGTTATGTTTTCCATTCAGTGAGTGTCCCTCTTTTCAGGCTGTAACGAGTAAAATTTTCCCCCCTGTACAGTACCACTTCTAACATCTTGTAAAATTCAACATGTAAAAGGATTGCACTACAGGTTCGAAAATTTCTTTCACCTGTTGAGTTTTAAGTAATAGAGAACACTGCAGCTGTAGATGTGTAGATATTGTTATTAAAAATACTGTGTGACATTCATGCAGCAGTTCTTCATGGAAAAATGAAAATTTTTGAAAAAAGACTCAAAAATGGATAACTTTTTCCAAATACATGTAGATTCTTATGGACAAAAAAACTATTTTCTGATTGATGGAAAATTTTTGGAATATAAGTTGAACCTTATTTCAGGTTGGGTTACAAGGGCTTTGTTGGATGCTGGCAACCCTAACCCTAAACCCTGTGCAACCTACTCGAATTTGTCAGAATTAACCCAATACAAATACCTGCTTTGTCCAGGTGTTTGCTCATTACTAATGCTTGAGAAAAAGTAATCAAATGTTCATTCAAATTCTGCTTTCCATTTGAAAAGTATTCAAATGTTTGATTTAAAATTGCCAAGTGCTTTGTGGGTTACTTAGGCATTAATTATGATTTATCATGAATGATTATTAACAGACTACTAATAACTAATTAATATCTATGTCTCTGATGCTTAATTATAAACATGTGATCTACATTCTTGGAACACATAACATTCATGTATTAGTGTAAGAGTTAGATTAAAATCTAATTGTCAAAACTTCTTAAAGGCACCTAAGTCTTGTAGATTTATTTAGCTTTCATAGTTTTGCTAGCTCATGCAGCCAACTTTCAGAGATAGTTGTTATTTTACAATGTGCTTCAACTTGGATTTTTTCTGTGACACATTTAGTTACATCTGGTTATGTAGAAAGAGGGGTATTTTAAGGCACACCAGCCCTTGAACTGTGCAAGTCAGAATACCCTATAATAAGAGACAAAAGTGGTTGAGACACTTAAGATACGATTGTTGGCAATCAGTTATAAAATCTCATCTTTTCTTGTTTACTTTACATTTTCCCTGGCTCCTTATATTACTTGCCCTTACCCCTATTCAGTGTTTTGCAAGAATTATGTGAGGCTCAACAATGACAAATCCAACTTTGAGCAGGAGGTGGGGAGTAATTTGAATGGAAAGGGGTTCATTTTGTCCAGCATACATAAAAATAAGTCTCATTATGTCTCAACCTTTTTGAAGCTTATTGTAGGTAAGCCATGCAGGTTCACTAGGGTGGCTTGTATGTGATATACTTGTTTGCTCATCGCCAAAACCCACCAATGGAAATTCGGCTTTTTTTTACTTTGCATCACAAATGGAAATAGTAAATAACTGTTAGTTGCTCTCAATGTTTCTGGAGTGAGGGAAGGAGCTCTGACCTGGTGAGAATGCAAGACATTAATTTTTTTCAACACAAAACAAGAAATAAGTCTCTCGAGACTTTTTTGGTCAGTTAGACGAGTTTGCTAGGTTGCTGGTGACTGTTATGTTTTACCTATAGTTGGTTCTTGTGTTCCTCATGGCCTTCTGACATAGTGTCCCTTTTATATATATGGACTTGTACCACAAGTCTAAGGTTTGATGGGAGGTTGTTTTTAAAGGAAAAAATGCCCGTAAAGCTGGGGCTGTTGTTAACAGGTTGCCCAGGATGCAGTTTTCAGGTTGAACACCTGTTTTGAAACTGTCCACTCAGATGCTGGCAATTTGTTACATGTATTTGCCAAACCTGTCTGTATGTGCTCTTGGGGCTGGGGGAGGGGATATTAGAAGGTATAGGGGAGGAGGGAGCAAGTATTTTGTAGGGCAAGGGCTTTTTAGCTTGTATTTGGTCCAAGTGGATTACTTGTCTTCCTTGAGATCTAAATATCAGTGAACCAATTGAAGAGTATTGCTATAGGATATCTCACAGAATTTAAAGTGCTGTGAACTCTGCTGAACTCAAGGTATTCTGCTTTGTGATTTTCTGTTTTTTCATGTTTGCTTCAAATGCATTTTGAAGAAATTTCATGATTGTGTCATTTTGCTGAGGAAGCTTTAGAATGTGCACTGTGTCCAGGTCCTTCCCTCATTCCTGGTAATCTCAGCTGTAATTCTTTGGTCAGTAGTTTATTCTCCAATCTCTGACATTTTTTTGACATTTATCTTTGTAACATAGTTTTAATTGTTGCCAATTAATTGTTAAAGGAGCAAGAGATCTTTCATCCAAAAAGAAAGTTACATAGTAAAATGTAGACGTTGTAAAAAGATACTTGTACATCGATCACCATTAAATTTGTTTAATTAACAGGTGAAAATTGTCAGGGTTGAAAGAATTCCAGATGGAACTTTAACTGAGTACATTTGGTTCTGTGATAAAAGATATTCTCTCTTGATGTAGTAGGAGTGCTCTAATTACATTATTTACATTAATTTAAGCATTAATTATTATTACATTATTAATTATTAACAATTACATTAATTTAAATCAATTTAAATTATTTACATTAATGCTCTAATTACATTAGGTACTTTTAATTAGAGAGAGTTGTTGTGGTTCTCAAAGTTAGCAAACCAAGGACTTCCATTTGAACCGTCTTAACTGGTTAGGGTTAGGGCTAGGGTTGAAATGAAACAATTAAAATTCTCTGAAATTTATATATTGATTATGATAGGGTTTGTTGAAACATGAACTTGTACAATGCTTGATTGCTTGAAATAAATTCTTCTTTATTTTGAAATTTTTATGGGGTTATCAATTCATCCAATTATTTACTGATATTATATGTCATGGTATTTCTTACCATGCTATGCATTAACCCCTTAACTCCCATGAGTGATCAAGGCAGAATTTCTCCTTACAATATCAATATAATATCAAGCAGAAATGTGATGAGAATAAATAGAGGATATCATATGGCCA